ACAACCATTAATGTGAACTGAACAACGTACTCTTGTAGCTGCATCCCAGTAACAGATATTTAGATACACTGAATTCACACAGCCTTCTTCTGGATGCTTTACATATCAAATGGCAACTGAGCAGTACTGGATGCACACACTGCTATTACCTTTTCCTGTGCATTCAGTTCCCTTCATTTTAATTTAAAATACACCAGAATAATTAAGCAATACTTGATAACTGTGAAACCCATATAAAGTAGTAATATGAATTCTAATTAATTTTTTTAAATGACTGTTCAAATACTTACAAGGCCAAGTTTTCCAGCTTCATTTAAAATTTTATTCAAGTATCGCTTAAAAATATAAAAGCTACGGCTTTCCTGTGACTTGGCATTCCTCTTCTCGCATTCTGCAATCTGCAATCAAGCAAAAGACACTTTTATTCACTTTGCTCAAACCAGCTCATTCATAGGAGAAAACCTCCCCCCCACTAACATATTAAACTCAGGATCAACAGGGGCACATTTCTTTAGTTTAGCAATGATCCTGTGATTAGTATGCCAGATAAAAAGCATATGCAGTTACTGAAGATGCTGCTTTCCATGGGACTGGCCAGTACTGAACAACTTGAAAACAACTGGGCAGGTTCCTTGGCTTTTGGCAGCATGGTGTGACATAAAATATTTTAGGAAACAGATCGTGGAAGGAGAGCAACAATTTGGAATTGAATTCAGACCACTTTCAGTCTCTCCTCTGAATAAAGAGGTTTCCCTACATAAACACGATCTCTCATAAATTATGCCAGCAATGCACCTGTTCTGTACTATCTAGAAAAAGCACTGTCAGAAAGTACAAACTACTAAACACCGGAAAATATTCTGGAGTTCTGTTACAAACCTTCTGTTGCAGGGAATCTATTGTCCTGGAACAACTTGGTGAATTTTCAGTACTGACTGTATCCACAGTCTTATCCTCGGAGTCATGATAGTTTGCCTAAAATAACAGAAGAAAAACACGTATTTTTAGAATCTGATAATTTGATCAAACATGCCCTGTTACACTTCTATTGTCAGATCCCTTTAAAAGGAGCAAAGGAGCTAAAATCTGAATGATCTTTTCTGCTAATACTCTCCCAGTGATACCCCATCTGCCTCTCTGCTGTTATTCTAGGCTCCAGATGGACAATTGCTTTAAGTTTATGTAAATGCCTGTTGCCTTCAAAAGGTGAGGCCTGTCCTCCCCCACCTGCCCTTTCCCCTCCTTAGAGTGTTGGTGAGCCACACAGAGCATCAGATTAGATAACTGGACTGGCTAAAAACTGACTCAGCAAGCAAAGGGGCAGCTTCCAGCCAGACAAATTCCCAGCCCCGCTGGCCACGCAGCCAGCCAGACTGCAAGTAAACACAATCCCTCGTTCTGGGATGCGTGCCTCTCCTGTCACATTCCCTCTTTGCTTCAGAACACTCTATGCTTTCTGTTCATTACTCAGACCCAGTGCTGCTTCTACACAACCAGGAGTGGACGTTGAGGGAAGTCTCCAAAAGGAAGCACAACAGTGCACAAATCAGTGACTCATGCTGAAACCAAGTTTGGTTTGGACTCGGACGGCCTCCACAGCCTGCCTACCTAAAAACTCACTGCAGAGCAGAAAAGAAATCCTGAAAAGATGGATTAACCCAAAGCAGGCATTTTTCTCCTTTAAGATGAGAAGTTCTATTTTTGTGGGAGACAACAGTAAAACTACTATTTTTTTTATAAAAGTTGGAGCAGTTGGGCTCCAAGTTTAAAGACTCTAAAGTCTGCTGCTGAATTTTAGGGATGTTAATGACTATCAGGTGGACTTGAGGCAGGTGGAGGCTGAAGAGGAATGCTGTGGAGAGAAATAATGCAGTCTGCATTTTTTAACTTCAGAAAATTACATTCTGAAGTGTTTAAATAGTATCATTCAAACTTGAAAGCTAAATAATGACAAAAATCAAAGGTGCCCATGGAACCAACCACAGTTCACAGTGCCACGTGTGCACATACGTATTTGATTAACAACATGTATCTATGCAGAGTCCATCCCTCACGCAGGACAACTGAGATGATTCACCTTATTAAAACTAGTTTTTTTCCTACTTCATCTTCTCCTAAATGTTCACAAATCACTAACAGTACAGCACTCAACCCCTATTCTGATCTTCCTTCTGAAAACTGATGCCTAGCATTACAAAACACATTGTGACTTTCACAACACTCTCACACAAGAAATGTGCTTTATTACCATACTGCTATGAAACTGGTTAATTAAAGTAAAATGCAACCATAAACTCCCCCAACTGTTATCAGGTAGGAACTTGATTTTCAAGATATTTAATACTATACTTGAGAAACTAGTAAGAGCTCCTGAACCTAGTACTTCTCAGAGCAGTAACTTGTGGTGCCACAACCCGCATAAATCAAGCACCACCTGCAAAAATACAAAAAGCCTGGTTGCTGTGACTGGATCAGTGTGCAACAGAAACTCAACAGGACAAGGTCCTGAGCTAACTACAATAACATAGATCACTATTTTTTTCCTTGCAATTTTAACCATGGACACAAAAGACTTTTCTGTGAATGGATTCAGATACAACACAGTAAGACCTTAAAAATACCATAATTCTATCATTATCTAATGTCATCATTTAAGAGCAATCTTTCAACAGTATGTGGCTGAAGGACTGTTTGGGAGAGACATGTATTCATACACCCTTTCTTTTTCTACCTTGTAAGGTCTTCTCATTGTTCCTGATGCTGCATCATAATTGAGCATATCCGTGGGGTCAATCCATTCATCTTCTTGAACTTTACTGCTCCCTACCAGCATAACTGCACACAACACCAGAGGGAACAGCATCCTGTGTCACTGAGTGTAACAAGAAATCCACATATTTAGGTCAGGCTGTAACACGCTGTATGAAAAAAAAGCAACAATCTTACATGAAAGATGTATTCTCTGGTGCTGTTTAAAAACTCAGTTCTCCATTAAGCAGGTTAAACTTCACTTCCCTCTTTCCCCCCCCCCCCCCCCAAGGAAATTGCCAGCAATAATATGCACCAATTAAACTGTACTACATAACTGGATAGATATAACTGACCACAGATATCAGCAGGTCTAACACGGAGTTCAGAATTGCTAAATACAATAAATCTGTGCAGAACTCCTCCAGGATTCACAGCCAGATCACAAGCCCAGCCACATGCAATAACTCTCTTAGGTGCAAAACAGTGTTATTTGGTAAGCAACAGAAACACAGGCTCTTGGATTGCTGCTGCTACATAGTGTCTGCAGGAGTGCACGAACACAAAAATATGAATAATACAAGTGACAGCAAATACGTGACATTGGGAGCTGACTCTCTAGGGCTAAAAGCACGATCACTAACACAAGCTGGCCCTCTGAATTTCCCGAGGAAGCACTTGGTACGGCCGAGTGTTCGAGCCTTACCCAACAGGCATCCCTACAAAGAAGAGATAAGCACAGACTGTCGACAGTCCCAGGGTACAAAGGTGGAGTCTTCCCAGACCTCCCATCCCTCATAACCTATATTTATATGGTTTTCTTTGAGGGAGGGGAAAAGGTAGCGTTTCAGTTGATGTCATTTCAGGTTTAGGTGGTTTGAGTGACTTCAGTCACACACATAAAGCATGTACAGGTTTTACTTCATCAGCCCACGTGGGGATGTGAAAAGCGACACGTATTTTCGAGTTAAAAGAACAAAGTTCAGCTTTTGGTCGGTCACCTTTTAGATCATTCCTCTGGCTTAGTTCCCGTTGGTGGCATTGTTTTAAACGGAGCAAGGCCACACCACCTCCGTGCGGCTCCATCTTTTGTCCCCGGGCTCTCTGAGAGCGATACCCCGCGCTCCCCCAGCGGTCCCGCTCCTAAGGGTGCAGAACACCTCGTCCCCGGGGAATTACTGCCACCGCATGCACTCCTGCTCGCTGACCTTTCACATTATTTTCCCACAAAGGGTCCAGTACACCCGTCACGCAGAACAACAATCAAGGCTGGTCAGCCCTGCAGGGGCACCTCGGCCCTGACCGGGCGGGACGCACGGCCTGGTGCCCTCGGGCGGCTCCACCCGGCCCCGCACAGGCCGGCGCTGCCGCCCGGCCGGGTGCTATAGGCGCGGGCAGGGCCACAGAGCGGAGCCACGGCCGATCCTCCCCCGCCCCGGCCTCCTTTATCTCGGCAGGGACACCGCGCTCCGCCGAGACGAGCAGCCCTCCCGCCCGGGCCCGGACACGGCGCAGGCCCCGGGCCCGCCCCGCCCGCGGTACCTGAAGGGCCGCAGGAATCTCGGCGTGTTTACCCGGCCCGAGGCCGCCCCACAGCCCCGCTGCTCTCGGCTCCTCCCGGCCCTGCAGCTCCCCCGGCCCGGGGGGGCCGCCCCGCCCTGGGAACGGCCGCGGAGCAGCGGCCGCGGAGGCGCCGCCCCGGCCCTCAAGCGCCGGCTCGCGCTCAGAGCCCGCCCCGGCCCCGGCCCCGCGGCACCGAGGGAGCCCCAGCAACTCCCACCGGCTCCATCCCCGCCCCTCTCCTCCGGTAGAGGGATGTTTCGTTCCTTTCGAATCGCCTCCAGTCCCAGACAGACATAGAGGAGGACCTACCTTCGCTAAATGCGAGCTCAGTCACAAGACGCTGTGACGTAAAACAAGGGATGTAAATCTAGATCTGCTCTGTAAAGACCCAAGCTGGAATACAATTAATGGCAGAATACAGTATTTACATAGTTGTAGACATTAAGTCTGCCAGCTTTGTCCACAGATAAACAATTAGAGGAACACTGTTTTCCTCCAAAGCAGCATTATGTATGAAATACAGAAAAATAAACAAGATTATTATCACACTGAAAATTCAATATAGGGAAGCAATATCAAAACTCTTGAGTATTTTATAGTTCTGGCATATTAAGTCATATGTCTAATTCTGTATCACAGTTGCATCAAATAATTATGAACTAAGAATCCAAAATAACAGCCGAAACAGATGCAGGTGTTGGAGGTCTTTATTGAGATTATAGCACAGATACACTTCTATATTTACCTTTCCACTTTTATACGATAGTTAAAAATGCTTGCTACAGTGCACATATAATTTAGTAACCAAGAGAATCCAAAACTTAACTGCAGTTCAAATAAATAAATAACCCAAAGTTTAAGGTTTATATTTTAAAAAGTAAAAGGAACTGTACAATATGAAAATATAACAATACATAAACATTAGAATCTAAAGTTTTGTAGAAATAAAACTGCAGTTTCCCATACATAAACAGTGCAAGAAATAAAATTCAGATAAGCTTCTGAACTGGGAATTTAAACAATTCTTAAATTATCATGCAGACATAGCATTTTAAGCCATGCTGGTTTCTATTATAGCATTAATGGTATCCCTTTTACTTGAAAAATTGATAGCCATTAAGCTCACTGTGACAACTGCTGCCAATCCACTCTTTTCTATAGTACATTATACACAGAGGTATTCTGTTGCATTCAAAAAGTAAAATATTACATGTTTCTACTGAAAAAAGTTAATATTTTACTTTTTCCCCCTCCAACATGTTAGCTTGTTCAAAACAATGTCATGTAGTAAAAACAGCAACATTTTTCCAAGGTTAGATGAAAAGAAAGAAAAAATCCCACACTATGTAATGGACCATAATCAAGATGTGGTTGCTGTCTAGTCAGCCTTTAAAGTTCAGATGTTTTTACTAAAAATACTGAAATTGTGGAGATGTTATAAAGTTTGATCTCTTGTTGAGGAGTGATGAATACAATGGAAAAACAGTGGAAGTTTTGTGTGTGTGTGTGTGTGTATGTGTGTAACTAGTTACATACAGACTTGATTAAAGTGTTGTTCAACTTCAGTTATATACAAAATTCTCATCGAGGCAAAGACCAAGGAATGCAATTAATACCAAACTGTAAACACATCATTCATGTTACTCTGAGTGCACATCAACAACATAAGAGTTCTCCTCATAGACTTTGGCAACAAGACTACAATAGGTCACAGCAGCATGAGTTCAACATGGAAGACTGGAAGCACTGCAAAAGAATATACTAAAAACACCAAGACCTCCTAGAAACCAGAAAAACCAGTGACAAGTGCCCCTCTTCTTGATAAGACACTCTCCTGCTCAACTGCTGCTCTCAATGCCTCATTGTTATTGTTTGGACAGTTCTGTAGTCTCAGGTCTCTGTGCTTTAGCTGCATAGGTTGCCTTTGTTTGCACTCTAACCATTGTAGGTCCAAAGGGTTACAGTCCTGTCTGCAGACGACGACAAGAAGGAAAGATCTTGCGTGTGCCACCTGCACTGGATAACTTTGTCCTTGTGCTCTCCTACCACCATCAGAGGAAGTTGCTTCGTGAGGTCCCCTGTGGCAGAGGAACAGAAGTCAATCATTTCATTAATTTAAACCCCAGCTCTTGAGTGGGTTTTTTTTGTGGTTTTTTTTTACTTGTTTGTTTAGTGAAGCTCATAGGTATTTCATCTTATGAAGCACTTGATACCCCCCCCATTCACATACACGCAGCATAATACAGGGCCCCACTGTTTCAGTTTTTAGGTGTTACTGGACACAGTACAACTTAAAAATGCAGACTCACTGTTTTCACAAAAGGTGATTAAAGTTTAATGGCCCAAGAAAATGAAGTCAATTAGATATACCCAACATCTTCCCTCTTCTTAACTCTTTCCAATAAAAATAAAAATTATATACTTTTTTAAAGTGTCAGTTTTATGAATGCTATCTGAAAGCAATGGTCATCTCACTAGGCAATAGCGTTAACAATTTTTTTTACTGTAATGAGACCGTCATGCCAAAGCAAGATTTAGTTCATAGCCTGCACTTTTAGCTACACAACTAGCCAATTGCCAACAGACACAATCAAATATACACACGTCAAACCCTTCGAAGCTCTACTGTTTTTCTCCCCATTTAAAGTAAAACCTGATCTTGGAACCAAGATCTCAACTTCAACATTAAAAGCACTAAATGGAAAATGAGCCTATGATCCCTTGCAGCACATTACCTTGCAAGTCTGTCACCTTGATCTTCATATCATATGACCCTGTGAGCAAGTAGTGAGCCCCCGGGGAGAAGCGAACGGAGCGAACGTCGCTGGAGTGGGGGTGGTAGCTCTGCACCATCCGACCTCCCCGGATGTCATACAACATACAGCTGGAGTCCTCCTGGCCTGTAGCCAGGAGTCGCCCACTGGGATCAACAGCTACTGAGGCTACAGCACTGCCTGCAGGAGGAGAAAAACCCACATGGTCACACCTTATAGTTCTGTACATTTGCGCAAATAGCCAACTGTTTTTAAACCAGAATATACATTGTAAAAGAACACTGAATGTTGGCCTTAAATTTAAGGTCAACACACACAGCTACTGTTACTTTAGAATAACAAAACTGTTATGTTCTGGCACCATGTTTTATCTGAATGTGCTTGGAAGTGTCTGTTTGAAAGTCACGAGGCAAAAACAATACTCAACTTCTGAAAGAAAATGTTACTTTAAAAACAAAACGCAGGTAAAGATTCCTAACAGCTTCTTTCTTTTAAAGCCAAGCCTCCAGTCTGTGGCACAAACTCCTCTTACATTCTGCCTATATTACCTTGATGTCTTCAAAGTCTATTTTTATGCAAGAATGTTCAGAAGCATGATAGCAACTCTTGCCTGTTCCATGAAACGTTGTTCCCACAACACGAACACAGCTTGGCACTCTCAAATCCCAAAATCTTACAGTCTTGTCTTGGGATCCGGATGCAATCATCCAGCCACTCCATGTATAAAGTGCTAAAATATGACCTGTGAACAAGAAGACTTCTTAAGTTGATTAACCATCATTAATCAAATACTGAAACACCACAGTTCAGATTATATTTTTGCTTTCAGAGATTTGACTATCCTGTGGAAAAGCTGCATGTTGCATGATCTAACACACCAGTGAAAGGCAATATCCACCTTTGCATCTTCTCTGGAATGAGGTTGCATTAACCCATTAAATTAACAGCCAACATATGTAAGAACAAACATCCCCCATCACCCCTCAAAATACCTCAAGAGCAATCTGGAGACCAAAAAAAAGTCTTGCTACGAAGAAAAACACAAAGAATTTAAAAAACACCCCCAAAACAACCCAACACCTTTATTAGAACATAGTACAGACTTAGAAAGTGTGAGAGAAGCCACAATACACATACCAGTGTGACCACTCAGGGCATGCAGGCCTTGTCCTCGCTGACAATCTGTTGTGTAAATATTGCAGTCCCCTGCTCCAGCACTTATTAAAATAGCACCACCACTTTCTGGGCCTTCCATGAAAGCAAGGTCTCTGATTGTCCCATCGTGCATGCTGAATTCCAAATCTGGTCCTAAAATAATTTAAAAGTCGAGGAACAAAACAAGAGCATACTCTGTTTGCTAGTGCTACACTTTAAAGCAGCTCCAGTGATAATGCAGAATACCTTAGGCAAGGGTGGGTATGCTACCAAGTACAAATATTGCTGTGCACTTTCTATAGAACACAACAACATTTCAGTTACTAAAGTTTAAATAAAATCCCTAAGAATCTTGTTGTTGAGTGTTGCTTGAGCTTCGTACTTCCTAAAGCTTTGCAAAATGACCATCACCACAGCCAATTGCAGCCAAAGTTTACAGAGTATGTTTATTTCTTTTTGTAAACTCTGGTAAACTCAAAAGGCTTTCTCTGCCCGGAGGGAGAGGTCACTGAGACCACTGAACCACATCGGACAAGGCAGTCCAAGTTCAAAACAGAAAAGATAAGAGCCATATTCAGTGTATTGATTAGGAGGGTTGGGCATGGAAAGTAATATTTGCTGGGCCAGAAACCTTTTTAAGATGGGTGAGAAGACAGATGACAGAATTAGGCAAAAAAAGGGGGAACTAGAAGTAGAAATAAATTCCTAGTGACAGTCAAGATCCAGAGGTGGGTAAGAACATCTGGCTGTTTTACTGTATATGAAGGAGAATCTGCCAGAAGAGAGCACAACACTGTAATCTTGCCAAAAAAACCAAAACCACAACCAACCAACCCAAACAAAACCCAAAAGATAATCCCCAACCTCGCAGTGGCTCTTTCTGGACAAAGACTACAGTGACGGTGAAAGGGAAAAGAGACTAAAGTGTCAGAATAAAAATAACAAAAGCTATTCAATACATAATCAGTTTAATTTGAATGGTTTTGACAAATAATTGAAAATAAACTCTTTAAATATAGACACAGTACCTGTTGCATTACAAGTTTCTGCATTAAAAGGCAGTACTTTCACATATTTATCATTAGAACCAGTAGCTAACAGCTGTCCACAGGGACTCCAGGCTACACAGTAGATTGATCCTTTATGATGCTTATTCCTTTTGAAGCGAACTACAGGTTGTTTAGAAGTATTATAAGCACTGGTAAAAGAAAAAAAAAAAGAAAACCATCAGATATCCTTTTATTTCTAAGGAAAACAAAGTATTTTAAAATGAAAGTACTGTTTTTCTATTATTTTGAGTAACATGAAATTCATATGACTGCTTGCATTGAAACATATATGTAAACTAAGAGAAAAGGATCATCTCCATTCCATTTTCTCAGTTTTCCCTCATCTTCCCATTGTACTTGTGATTAAACATGCAAAAAGGCAGTCCCTTCGTCTATTGGGGGTTGATATAGATAAAATATTAATTTAATAAAATAATTACTAGCTATAGTACAATGAAACCTTATCCTGAGAGTCCTAAACCAGTGTTCATCATGAGCTGTGCATTGGATGTACTTGTTGAATAAAGTGACTCTAAAAGCTTCACTTCTCTACTAGAAAATTGAATACAGCAGTCTGTGCCAGAAAGACACATTCACCATTCTACATCAGTGCAAGAATCTTCACACCATCTAAACACACCATACATTCCTATTTCTAAAATCACATCAGCTTTACACGTGGTTGAAATAAAAGCAACAGTCCCACTGATGTACATTGCCTTCAGTTCAATCAGTTACCTTCCTACAATGTTCTTTCTCTGCTGTCATAGCAGGAAGAAGTACTTAGGATAAAGTACTGCAGTATCCACTTCCATCAATGTTCACTCCAGTAACATCAACAATAGAAATCAACAAATTAAATCACTATTGAAAAAATTCAGAAATCATACTATAAATACCTGAAGAGGTAGAGAGAAAAGACAGAAGACAATCACCCAAGTCTGTTGAAAAACTCTGGAGATAAACATGGCTTTAGTAAAGAATACTAAAGTAAATCTACATGGAAGGTAATTTTATTTTGTTGCCAGAGAGGAAATCCATGACAGATTACTGTAAGTCAGGATCACTTAACACACTGCAGAGCTTCCTAAGTGACCTAATGCCTTAACTTGCACTCTGAGTTTGGATCCACCAGCTGTTAAGAGCTGAGAATCACTGACTCCGCCAGGATACAGGAGCAATTATCCAGCTCAGAGACCACATGTTGCCAATCCACTGCATGGAAGCACTGCAATTATTTAAGCAACACCTGCAGAACTGTAATGTGTATCTATCAGTGTTTAATCTCAAATATGTAGAAAAAAAACTCCCACACTACTATTATACCTTTAGAGAAAGGAATAAAAAACAACTCCAAACCAGCCTCTCCTGAATCATACATCAGTTTGAAGGACAATTTAAAAAACTTTAAAAATGCCCAATAAAGCTTCAAAGAACATCTGTTCTACACAATTATAGCTTTTTGAAAAACACAATTTTGAATGCATGTCTGGACTCATGTTGTTACAAGGATTAGAGTATCCTGAAGATAATGTAATCTCTCTGCTGTCTTGTAAATCCCGTGATGAATTGTTTCAGGCAAGCCGTAAGCATAGTCAAAAACAACAGTAAGAGGAAGAATTACAAGTTCAGAATTAAGGAAATGTCAGTATTCCTTTCATGTCCAGATGCAGCTTGTCACTTGTCACATCAGATCATGCACTGCAACTAGAGGCTAAGGCTGCAGAGTCACTCTAACCCTTCCCAGTGCTCTCAACAACCAGTTGTGCAGAAGCAGACCACAGTTAGTCCATAAAGCAGCATCCATTCCACTGGAAATGCTTTGCACTGTTTACCAGTCAAGAGGAAGCTGCCTGGGCTTCAAGCCCAGCAAGTTGGCTTGTGTTGGGTATCAGAGAAATCTTTTTTATTTTATATTGTTGTGTCATACATTGCCAATAAATACTTTGGAATTAAACTTCAAAGTCTACCTTACTGATGATATTTAAGGAGGAAATTAAAAAAAAAAAATCTAATTATTTTTGAACACTTTGGAAGCCTGAGCATTAGTTCTAAACTGGGAAGATGTCCCAGATAAAGTCACTGTGCACACTTGCAGCTCGTGAAGTTTTAGATGCTTGCACTTCACCCCTACTCTAAGAAAATAATGGAAGTGGAACAGAGAGAAGGAGATGGTTATTGACACAGTAATATTTATTTCCAGATGAAAAAATATATTTTCCCCCTCCTATTAAAAAAATGGGGGAAAAACCCCTGAAAATATCAGGTGCACAGCAAAACACAAACAGCGCTTTTCCCTTTAAGGAACCAATATACCTATAAAACAATGTTTATAGTAATAATGGGCCAACAGAAAGGCTCTGGCATGTTTTGCTCTGAAAGTTCAAGAAGATATTGCTTTCTCAAATGTGAAGTCCATCCTCCTGCCAGAAACTTGCACCTCATGAAGCCCAACTTGTGCTGGCTGGGAACTGACACATGCTTTCTCCCACTTTTACAGCTGGAATATCAAAACCAGAAGCCATCACAGTAAACACAGAAAAGCCCAACTGCTGAGGCAAAACCAACACTTTATAAGGAAAAGTGTGGTATCATGGCAGTGCATCTTGACAGTAATGAAAGAGAACAAATAAGTAGCCCACAAATACACAAATGCTTCAGCAGATCATCTAATTTTGTTTGGCAGTTCAGGTTTCCAAGGAGGGCACTGCTCTATTTATGATAATAAAATAAAGGTATGAAAAGTACAGGTATAAGGAGGAAGAAGGGCTATGATATAGAAAGTATTACACAAGCTTTCTTACCTTGGGTCAATTACTTCTGGATAGGCACAAACTCTCAAAGTTTTAGAGTTGGAGCCAACAGCATATAAACTCCCACTGGGATGAAAGGCTACAGCTCTGACAGCCTGTGTGTCTTCTAGAGTATTAATGCAAATGAACTGCTTTTTTGATTTGTCATCCTGTGTAGAAGGGTAACAGTCAAATTAGGCTCTTCAGTGTAAAACTGGACATTTACAAGCGGATGTGACTGTTTTGTGGAGTAAAGTAAAGCTACTGAACCAAAGTATTAACAAGTAGCATCACACCAGGCTGAACTATTCAAAGTGCAGATTTGTAAAACAATGTCTACTTCAGGTCCAAGAACAGCATACTCCAACAAGTTCTTTTCTTCAACTCACTTTTACAGCTAACATTAGATTAACATTTCTCATTCCTCCTCCAGACTTCCACCCATTTTTTGTTCTTCTAAACAGTCCATTTCAGATGCACTATACTACAGTTTATTTTTGTGTAAACACATTTCATCTATGTGAAACTTGCAAGGGGAACAAAGCTGCATTTTTACTGAAAACAGTCCAAGTCATAAACATAGTTTCTAAAACAAATATAATACTGAACAGAATCAGATTTTCACCCCGTATATAACACAGTTATCATTAAATTATGCTGTTTTATTACATCCTCCTCCTAGTGACTTCATCACCACCTTTCTAAGATTATGATTTTTATGTATCTGATGCAGAAACTTTTGAATGCACTTATTGCAGTTATTTCCCTGGCTTTTCAAACCATGGACTGAGTGGAGTCTAACAATCAAAGTTTCAACCTGGAAAATACAAAACAATGGCTGTAAAAGACATCCCACTGGAACCTCTGTTGTACAAGGAGAAGCTGAGAGAGCTGGTACTGTTTGGCCTTGAGATCAAAAGGGCTTTTCAGGGTGTGAATGTGTACATCTCACCAGTGTATATAAATACGTGATAGGAAGAGTAAAGAAGATGGAGAAAGACTCTTCCCAGTGGGACCCAGTGAAAGGACAAGAGGCAATGGACAACAATAATATATAGCAAATTCCACTTCAACATTTTTTGTTGGTTTAAAAGCAGTATGAGGGTGGTCAGACATGGGATGAGGTAGTCCACAAAGGTTGTGGAACATCTTCCATCCTTAGAGAGACTCAAAACCCAAGAAACCTGCTCTCATTGACCCTCTTCTGCACAGTGAGTTTGGATTCAGCCTCCAGATGTTCCTTCCAATCTCAACGTTTCTGTGATTCTGCAGGTACTGCATTAACCAAAAACTCTGACTGCTAATAGATATTTAGAATGAGGATGTCACATACTCAGGATTAAATACCAAATCTTTTGATAACACAAATGACAAGAAAACTCACCTCATCACCTCTTGCCTTAGCTAAATTCCCCAAAGCGTCTTCCAGCTGTGGCTGAGTGACAGCATGTGCTGATACACTGCTTTGATTTGGTGAAGAGTTTGAATTCATAACAAGACAAAAAAAAAGAAGAGCAAAGACAGATTTATTTGTATGGATTTTCTGGACTAAAGTTACAGTCTCAATTACTCATTCTCAGAACTGACTAATCTGAGGACAAGTGTTATGTGTGCCTGATTCATTACCATTAAAACATTATTTTTACAAGGGGCTGCTCTTTGTGCAGCAACTCCAAGCACTGAACAAGTGAATGCAAGTTAGAAATTTTCATTCCATAACATACATATGTATATATGTATACACATAAACACACACACAGAAGTGGAAAAATTACTGTTTCTTTCAGGTCAGCACTACTATTAGTTAACAGAAGAAATTCAGTTCCCATTCTGCCCTGCTCTCAAATAACTTACTTTTGGTTCCCCTGTACAGGCGACTCTTCAGGAAAGGGGATCTGATTGGCTGATCCACACTTTCGAGGAGTGCTTGTATTGACACTTGGGCTATCAGTTGCTATCCTCTGACTGCCATCTGAGGGTGGTGATGTGAAGTTACTTGCTGGATTGGTAGATGCATTCCCTTTGCTCCCATTACATTGCTGGCTAAGTGCTTGTACATCATTTCCAAGACTGTCCATACCCATGTTTAATTCCCCTAGTTTCTGGATAGATCTAATAACAAATGACAAGAGAAAAAAAAAAAAAGACCAAGTTATGATGAGACTTAAGAAGAGAGACAGGTGGGTAGAAGGAGAATCAACAAACATCCCCAACCTGTTAAGAAACTGTTCAGTAAGATTCTGTTGCTGGTCAGCTCCATCTTCTTGATTCACTCCTCCTTCCAACAACATTTGCTGGTACAACTGTCGTTGTTGTTCCTTCTGTTCTAAGTGCTGCTGGTAACGTAGTCTTTGTCTGTAATATTCCTGAAACTGCTCTGTTGAATCACGAAGCTAAAAAGAAATGAGAATCACTGATGAAAATTAAACAGTTAATTTTGGTATTTAACCTAAATATTTACTTTCTGATTCATTATTTCAACACAGGCATCAAAAGGACAGGATATTCTCCTCTGAGGAGTAATGATTTAATTCTTCCTTAAAACCAGACACAATTTACATATTAAAGAAAGCAACCACTGCCAGCCTAGGCTATTCACTGTTGAAGCAGTTCTGCCATAATTCTGAAGGAGACTGCTCTTTCCTACAAAACTTCCAAAGTATTACTTAAGATCAAAACAAATAAATGATTTAAAACTGAAAATAAAAATCAAAACCCAATATAAGCAACATTCCAAATTCCAAGTCACACTTTCACTACAAATTTAGTATTTTCTGCCACATTGACACCTTCCTGCCATCAGTCTGCAGAGCCAATCTCCCTCTCCCAGTAGCCAATTCTGAAGTGGTCTATCCGAGCATTACATCTTACATTTGAAATTGGTGCTCTGTTCTAACTTAAAAATTCTGTACTTTCTGGGCCAAACACAAACATCTGAACTTGCTTTCTCATGGTCCCTTCTCCTTTACAATTCTGTCTTTAGCTCCCCACACTGCCAGCTGCCCAGGACTTGCTGCCTCCTGCATTCCCAAATCCTCACTTTCTGTGTCACTAGTTCCAAATGCCAGCAGCTGAGGACACGACAAAAACGGACAAACACAAAACCAAAAGCACTTCAGTCCAAGGCCAGATGATCCACACAGAACTGCCCTACATTTTCTAAAAACAAAAACCCTTAACTACATATTTAGAAAACTAATAGGGAAAAAAGTAGTAAAAGAAAGAAAAAACCCTGGTGGGTTTTTTTGTTTTCAAAAGCGACAGCTTTGTCACCTATGAATTTAGGTTGTATAAGGACATCCTGATAACTCTGCATTAGTTCAGACAATTCATGCATGATCTGTCCTTTTAACTATGAGCCTTTGCATTTCCTCTAATTAACAATACTTGCATTATGATTTTTTGTTCTCTGACACAATAATTTTCTGATTTATAATGGATTTTCTAGTGTTGTTGTATTTGCAAAGTATTTATCACCTTAGGTTTCCCATGGTGAATACTTGCAGTTTAGAAACTTCAAAGGAATCACCAAATGTCTAGAAAGCATTTATTCCCTGTATTTGAAATTTGTGAACTGTTCCCCAGTCACTGGGTTATAATCCTTCTAGGTAACAGGTACATTCTTGTCTATATTTCTTTCCACGACTGATACTTGTTTGTTGTAATTGGATTCAATCCTTTGATCTTTTGGATTCCGTGCTATTATTACCCAAACTAACATGCAAACCTAAAATATGTTGCCCAGAAGTTCTAATCTATAAACTCTGGCTTCTAAATCAGTCTCTACAGGAACACTGCAAAAATAAAGCTATGAAAAAAACCCTTAATTTCCTTTACAGAAATTAATTCTTACAATTTCTTCCCACTATGATGTGGGAAACAAAACAAGGTGAAATTGGACTGGGTACTACCTTCTTTTCTACTTGCGTATAATAGCCTGGCCAACATCTTCACCACAGCATCTCCTGTCCTCATTCTCTCCTATAAATTCTGCATCTGCTCCTCCCTCCCTCCTAAGGTGCATACAAAATACTGTTGCAGTAGAGAAGCGAGTCAAAGACCTTAATGTGGAAGTGAAGTTTAGCTGCACTGCTGGTGTGACAAGGCACACTCAATCAGCTGCATTACAAACTAAAACAACAGCAGAACTCTATACAACAGGGGGAAAAAAAAGGAGTAGTTTCTTACACAAGCTACAATATGGTATTTTTACTATAGTAAAAACAAAGATTCAAAGCAACCCATTGTCATGCATGAAGTTCTCCAAACAAAGGCAAATCATTATGAAGTGATCAGAACGCAGCTCAAAGGGCCTCATTATTTTTAAACAAACATCCACTACCTCATTTTTTTCTTGTTTGGCTGATCCCTGACTCTGTGCAGCACTGAGTGGTTCATTTTCTGGAACTGAACCTTGGCACAAAGCCTCACTGCCGATGGGACGCTGTTGCTCCACAGGAGTATCACTTCTCGCAGCAACATGGAAAAGAAGAGAAGCTTAACTGAGAAAAATTAAGGGTAGAAAAATCAAGTAGAGAGAGATAACATTCTAGAGTAAAATCTGATGACACAAGTGTGCAAACTGTTTAAGTCACATATAACTGAAGATATTGTTTGGGAAGAAAATGTCACTTGCAAGGGGTTACACTAAAAATGAAACTGCTAACAAACAAAAAAGCATAGCCATTGTGCTTTTTTCCCTGCATTTTCCAATAAAAGCCTTACGACCATGACATATGCAAACTCCCTATTTTCTATTCCTACACTTGAATTATATACCTTTTAACTAACAAGTTATTCAAGATCTCCCATTTTCAAAGCAATTATGTGCATAAAATATCTCATATACTATGTGACTAAAGATATTCCCTAAGATAATCACTTCAATTACCACTAGCAATCTAAACTTAAACTATGTATAACATCCATCACCTTGAACATTCCTGAAAGTGCAAGACAGAAAATTGTTTGTATCAGTTTTATTATCCTTGTATTTTAACTATTCCTGCATGGCACTCTTTCCAAAACAGTTTGGTCATCAGTAGACGTGCAGAACTCACATAGCCGGTGACTTGGAACAAAGTTCTTAATAAAGTTGTTTTAAACTTTTTGGGCACCTCTGTACAATAACAAAAGTAGCTCAGCTGACTAAAAGACAATTGCTTGATGAACACAACCTTTAAGAGAAATACCATATTTCTGTCATGTGCAAGAGGAAGCAAAGGCCATATTTAAATAAAGCTCACCTCCCACCCTTGCAAATACTGCTGTTTAAATTGCACACTTGATGTGAAGTTGGATTTTGTTCTGAAAAATGTAATGCCTTCTTGAAAACTATGGGTTTGGTCCTATAACCTAAGTCTTACCTTCAAGGGATCTATTATTAATAAAAAAAACATGTTAAGAACTATAAACTTCATTTTACATCACGTAAGGCCTACATAAAGAAGAACCGCAGCAATTTACCACCTTTTTTAGCCCACAACATAACACTATTTGTGTGGAACTATTCTAGTACTCTAATACTGAAAAGGGAAACAAAAACTTTTCAAGAATCAGTTTTAACATCGAATCCTGGTCTATGTTAAGGTTTTATACAGATCAGTTAAATTAGAGGATTCACAATTCATTAGTAAAATCAGTATAATACATTTTTACACTTTGTAAAAATGTAACACCAGGGATACTTCCATAATAGCTATCCACAAAAACTCCGTTTGGGAAGAGGCTGGTAAACACAAAGATTTTAATCAAACAATATATGTTCTTTCAAGATAAGCATTAAGATAAATATTAACACATACATTACTGTAAGTATTTTCATCATCATTGGTGAACTGACATCAGTTTGACAGCGTTTGTTTCCTTTTTACTGAGTTTAATTACAGCTGCTCTTTACCATGACACAATATAGAGAATATTGCTGCAAGGCAAAACTAACAGACACCAGCTGCAGTCAGGACTGACCACCCCAGCTCTGAAACTGTCTCCTGCTGGCCACTGCACTCACATGCAGGGCTAGCTACCCATCTGGTCCTCTGGAGCCAAAAAACCTGGTACCTGCTTTTAGAGAAGCATGGATATTACATTTAGGAAGGGACAGAACTGCTGATCAAAATAAAGGCCAGGTAAAAACATGATGATAAACTCTCAACTGACAAGTACCACATCTCCTAATTACCTTTCTCTAAGAAGGTAGAAAAGTACAAAACTCTGATGCAGTTCTGAAAGAAGAGGACAGTTTTGCAATCTACACTGCAATCAAGAAGTTATTAATAGCATAACCCAACTATCTCTAAGTCCAATACAAAAAACATAATACATTCAGTTGACTGACTCAGATTTGGTTTGGAAAATATTAAGTAAATATTTAAGCTGAAATACTATTGTAACATTTTAAGTGATACAGGAATGCTACAATGACAGCATATTGTCATTTCCACTAACTTCATTGGGATATGCAAATTTTGCAAGTACAGGTAATGATTTAGAATGTTAGGACTAAAATTTACAGAGACTTGAGGACAGAATGGAGAAAGAAGACGGGAGTTACAGCTATTCCACTGTCTCCACTTATTTATGTGGAATGAAAGAATTCAGTGATACTGAACATAAATCTTAGCTAGACTCTATTATGCACTCAGTATAGTGGTGCTCCGTGCTAGGATTTCAACTTTAAGAAAGCCCAGACTAAATCTATATGGCCCAAAACCAAATATGAAAATCTACTTGAATCATAAAAGCAGAAGGAAGAAACTACCTTATACAGAGTTTTACTTACAACAGAAATCAAACAACCAAATTATATTTCAATGTTACAATTATATTCAGAGTTACAGTGCCAGTAAGAACACAGTAATATCAACAACATAAGCCAAGGAAAAAACCAGAGCTCTAGTTGCACTTACCGCTCAGGTGACTCTTCAAAAATGCTGTGACACTCAGTATTCTCAAGCATGAGGCTCCTGCTGAGATTCTGTACTCCTGGGTAATGGAAATTAGCAAAGGAGTGTGACATTGGAGAAGTTTTGGTCCCGAGGTCTGTGACCCGCTTATCGTGGTTTGTTAATCCACAGGACAGCCCATCTAAGGCAGGGTTTAAGGAGCGGGTCATGTAAGCGTCTGCTGACTGAGGCCTTCTCATTGGGGACGATGGGTAAGGAGAAAGTTTGCTGATGAGAGGTGTCAAAAGATCAGCATACGCAGCTTTCGTAGGCTTGAGGAGTTTATCAACGTGAATATTAAGCATCTTTTGTTCAAAAGCACAAGAAAACACAGTAGCTGGCAGGTTCTGCAGCCACGACAATAAGCTAAGGTCCAAGTCATCACACCCATTGCCACACAAGAGATCAATGCCCAGCAATACTTCACTTTCTGTGATTTCTTCTCCTGTTGCTTTACTCTGACAGAATTCCACACAACATTCATAAAGCAATCCCTTCATGACAAGTTGGAACAAGCGGTTGTTACTTGCTTTGAAGCCGGCCTCGCTCAGCTTCCTGTCAGCTGGGATGAACTCTGCTACCATGACACAGGCTTCCTCAAAGCAGTGCACCCGAGCAGTGCTGGGATTCCAGTCCTTGAACTCGGCGTGGTTGGTCAGGCGGGGCAGTGTCAGCAGCAGGCAGAGTTTGCTGTAGTCTTCCTTGGAGGGACAATATTCCTCCAGCGCGTGCAGGCACTGCACTGCCTCTCGCATTGTGAACTCCAGCTACGGAGACATTAACGTCAGCTGAGCCCTTCATAGGACATGTGGTTCCACAATAAAACAGCTGAACAGGCAGCAGTAGAGTTTCTCTGCTCTCATTCATTTATTACTATTACTAGTTATATTTTAATTAAAAAGTCATACGATACAGAGTCTGAAATTGCTGATGCAAATGCAGTTACAGAGACAAATTCCTAGATGCTTTGACTTCCTAAAAAAACTCATCAGTCCCACTTCCTAGAGATTTATAGAATGTTTTCATGTCACTGCAGGTTTGATAGGATTAAAATTTAAATCTGTAGCTGAACAGCTACAATTCTATTGTAGCACAGGTTACTTCCATTCTAAAAGCCAGTTGACTTATACTCCCTTTTTTTTTCTGTGAGAAGCTATTGGCATACATTATAAAAGGCTTATAGACTGCTCTAGTTTCCAGTGATTAGCAACTTTGAGTCAGCTTTTATACTGAGATTCTGCTCCTCAATCAAAAATGTTAAAAACATTCAAAGAGTTCTCAGAAGATAAGACCTCCAAATGAATAAAGGGCTTTATTACAAAGCCGGTTAATAGCCAAGAACCACGTTACATACACAAAATTTGGCACTTTTAGTTGCAAAGATTTTAAAAAAAGATAAAACCCCTCACTTATCCTTTCATCCACAACATGCTAACCCATTTGGTAACAAAATAAGGAACATTAGTATGTTTTTTTCCCCTCTACTGCTGTCTGGTAACAGTATACAGATTGAGTGATTAAAGGAATAGACAGCTTCCATCTACAGCTATAAAGATGGACTTTTAACTTTCTCTACACTGTGAAGAGAAAACCCTGCAGCACAATGTACATGTAATGGGACATGGAATTAAAATCAATTCCGTTTGGAAAACAAAATTGATTACCTTAAAGCTACTAGCATTCTTCATTTTTAATTTCAGAACATTTTAGTGTTAGAAATTTGGTATTACTGTATCCTCAAAATAAATGAAAAACTATAAGTTCACAATCTGCAAACCTTCTTTGCCAGTTTCAGTTAGTGCCTCTTTCCATATTAAAAACCTAAGTCCACAACTCCTGCTGTTTTTGCACATTTAACTGAAAGAGTCCTTTGTGAACACATCTGTTCCTTCGAAAAAAAAAAAATCCAAACAAACCAACTCTGGCCTTTCTCTCCAGAAGCAACAGAAATAAAATTTAAGATTCATTCAAATTGGAATCCTTTACCTGGCCCACATTATGAAAATAAATTTCTGCAATTCTGAGGTTTGCTCCAGAATAATTTGGGGGGGAGGAAAGAGGAAAAAAAAAGGAGAAAGCTTTGTACTTCAGCATAATGGCCTAAAGTAAATCTGAGATCAGGACCACAAACACAGCATATGGTCACTGATCCATGCTGCAAAGTTTCAAACAACCCTTTTATATAGAATTCTATTTGAGACCTGGGAGTGACATTAATTCCCAAAGGACACCAATTATTTTTTCCAGTTATGAAAAAATGGTTATTATGAAACCATCTAGTAATACCTAAAATTTGTGCATTTAGTGCTGGGAGCTTCCGCTCTGCCTTTAATCAGAATCTCTCAAGAGACTTCCTGACAACAAAAAACTTTCCCAAACCAGAGATAACTCTTACATGCTGAGGCTCATCTTCTGCTGACATCGCATTGTTTACACACAAGGCTTCCAAGAACTTCTGCTTCATTATAATGTATCGAAATCTGCAGGTGAGAAGTTAAATGCTATACATCTTGCTCTAGTAAGTAAACTTTAGAGACATGCAGGGTATTTCATAGCAAATTTTTGAATCAGGCATAGAAACTGCCACAACAAGGAACTCTGATGATCTCAAAGTTTAACAAATTGGTAACCGCAACATTATTTTTTAACAGGAAATGTCTTTTTCCATTACTGCTTTCAGAAGTGTTCAATTAAAAATATCAGAAGGCAAGTTTGAAAAGTATAGCAAAAGTACTTATTTCTTAAACAGCCATCCATTAGAAGATAGTACAACATGCACCATATTTCTAAAGTGTATGGCCAATGACACCTCATTGCAGACCCTGTGCGTGTATTTTAAGCACAACTTTAAAAATGCATGCATACACTTTGTGAAGAGTATACAGGTTAGAAAAAAAACCCCAAAACTAAGGTGACAAATTTACAACTACTGTTTTCATAGACAATAGTTAGAAATTCATATATTTTCCACAACTCAGAAAATTGACCTCTGACATACATTCTATTTTACCTTTTCTTGTCGAATTTTTCCATACATTCAAGAGGTTGAATGAATTGAAGAACCTCATCCCACTGACCATCAAGAATCAACTGCCTAGTAAAAGAAAGGATCATTCCTTGAATTTCACTAGACAAGAACAACCTTTTTCAAGTAAGAAGTCCATTTAAATACAAAACAATAATTTAAATACACAAGTGATCAACCAGCTTTGAAAAGCTAACGCTTTGCACAGATGCCAAGAGGACTGTCTGATGTGACTAACTGCAAGAGCAAAATGTTTTCTCAATATTTTGTAAAAATAAATGCATACTAGAAGGACAAATACAAATTACTTTAAAAGGCACATCAAAAAGCACAAAATGGTCCTGTGTCTCCTGCTTCACCTGTAATTATTACTTAAAAAAAAAAAATCTTAAAGAGTTTAAATAAAGATATTATTTCAATGAATACATCTCAAAGAATGGAAGAGAACTGAAAAATTGGTCAATTTTAATTGTATAAATACTGCTGGGCCTATTTTATAAAGGGGATGGGTAAACACAGAGCTCCTGTATTAACAATGTGAGAGGAACAGTTTGGCAGGAATGATGCCAGCACAAGAGCTCCAACTCCAAAATCAGTGGGCTGGACTGAACAGGTAGATCAGTTCAATTCATATACCTACATCGCACACAGAGTTCTCTATAAAAGGCCCAGACCTACAAGGAAAGGATGAGTTACTCCAACTGAGCTAAGAATGAAACAAATAAACTGGATTAGTAACTTCCATCTTTCTGTAATTCTTCTTTCATTTCATTTTAGTCCAATATCCATAATTTTAATCAAAAGGGAAGCCAGGTGAGAAGTTTTGCTCAGTGATAAAATGCATTTTTAAATGCTTTAAGAACAGCTGGGTAGATTATATTCTCATGCTTCAACAACATTACTATGTACCTTTGGCATGAAATATAAGACAGCAATGTTAAAAACTAGTGTGCATCTACACAGATTATTTTTAAAAATATTGAGGGCAATATCCTGAATGTTAAGTTGCGCGAACTCTCATGCCTTGATGATAAAAGCTACTCCTTTCATGTTGTTAAACTTAAGATAAAACTAGGTATTATTTTGAAATGCAGATAATATTTTTGGGGAAAAGCTTTGGAAACCACTCATCATTGATCTGAGCACTAAAACACTGTAAAAATATTTTAATAGTCAATAAACTACATATTGAGGTCCACATGACCTGGTAAGCTGATAACACATCACAGATACCAACAGGTCTTGCTTTCCCATATTATTCCTGCTTATGGTCTTTCCCCAGCTTACCCTGCACTAACACTGGCACTTGTTAAGACTCCTTCCCACTTAAATTCATTGGTGTGTCAGAAAAATAACCAAGTTAAAATGAATAAATAAGCAACTAAAAAATCTAGCTCAGTGTGTGCTGATGATGCCCAGTCACTTACTCCAAGTGGCTCATAGAAGGGTGTCACTAACTGCAGAGCTGGAACACATTCTAGGGCTGGACCACACAATGGGATCAGGAGGAAGCAGCATAAGATGAGGGCACAAGTTAAGATCTCCCACTGAGTGGCACAGGGCTGCCCACTGAATAACAGTCTAGCTCTGTTTTCATATATGTAGTATTTAAGTACCAGAAAAAGAAGCCCTACCTTAGAAAGAGCATGTCATCTGAAAACAAGCCATTAATGACCCCACTTTCTTTCTCAAGTGCCAACATACTGATATGAAGTTTCCTTGAGTTCAGAAAATCTAGTATTAGCTTAATTATTTCAGCTTCTTTAATGTTCACCGTTTCTTCAGCCGTCATGATGGCAGCCTAAAAGGAAAGAATTTTAGCTATGATCAGTATCTTACTTTATGCTTGATTAACAAACGTTGGCTACTAACAAAAACAAAAATACAATTTTATAGAACAGAATGTAGTAGTGTTACAAAAATTAAATTACAAGATTAATTAATTGATTTTAAGAGGTTGACTATGAAGCCATACTTAAGACCTAACATTGCATCTGCAACTTTTTGATTTCTGTCTTATGCATATACAGGGCCCATATCAACAAATCTAACAAGAAATCAGTCCTCTTGCAATGTGAAAATATTGTGCTTACCAAGCCTGCAGTATGTAAAATTTTCCTTTGTGAAATGCAAACAGTGAAGTTCAAAGAGCGTAAGAGTCAGTTACTATGTCATTATCTAGAGATCTCGCATTCTAACAGATGTAAAAGGCATAGCACACTAAAATTGCCTTCTGTCCCTACCTTAATTTTGAAGTAGCATATGGCAATTAAGCCAGGGGCTTTCATTCTTCCTTCAGAAGGATGCCTATTTCTGTCTATACCCTTCACAAAGAATCTAAAGCTGCAAACCCAAGGTGGCCTAAGACAGTCTGCTCACTGGCTGCCAATTCCCCTTCACTCACCTGCCTCCACCTGCAGGTTCCTGGCCCTTCCCTAGCACTCCTCGCTTTTGTCATTGCCTTAGCTTCCCCACCAACATACATAAAGTGGCTCAGGAGTCTAAGGAGCTGTCCAGCCAGCACAAAGGAGAAGCGGGAAGGTGCAGCTGGGGCCCTGGCAGCCAGCAGTCACCTTGTTTAAAGCTCCCATAGGTACAAGGTCCGAGCTCCTCTGCAACATAATTCCTCCAAGGATATGAGAGTTGTAACATGCACTCCTCTTAGGAAACCTATATTAAATTCTGCTTCTGGCTAAATCTTGCCTGAGTGCTTAAGTCTGACTTAAAGTAGAAGCTGTTGAACTTCCTTTTTCAAACTTTAAAAAGACTTTACAGTTGTACCTCCTAAGATGATCTGTAAACTATATGGGAATGTGGGGAGAAAGACTACAACACAGCCAAGCCGCAGGGCACTGCCTTATCAGGAGCTCTAAAAAAAACCAAACCAAAACCAAAACCAAACAACCACCTAGCAGCATTCCTGTATACAAGAGTATGGTTTCACATCAGGAAGATTCCAGTGTAATCCCATGTTACTACTGCAGAAAAGGGCAGTCTCTTGTCACCTCTGCACTCAGTCACGCACTGCCACACATCCCCAGCCACCCCACAGCATCCCCAGCTGGGCCGTGTGCTGAGCCAGGGGCACATTAAACACTTATTCACTCCATGGACACAAGGAACTAACAGAACTTTGCTTTCTGGCAGTAGCAAAGTCTTAACCCAACCTAAACTGATTATGAGAGTGCACCAAAAAACACAGGAAAGCAGAGATGAACCCTCAGCAGAAGGCAACAAGGAGAGACAATGGTGCATCAGTGATCCAAAAAATGAAGGGAGATGACCACACAGAGCAAGATGTCCACAGCAACAGGCTATGGTTCCCAGTTTCTTCCCCTTATAATTCAAAGGGGAAAATAAAAGTTCTTCTCAATTCCCTCATGCACTCATTCACTTATGCAGAAATCTAGCAACTAGGATGTTTGAAAGATAACCAGCTGTGGGCAATGCAGCTCCCAAGACAGACTTCAGATACTTCAGCCTCAGAAAACTGGAGTTAATAAGCTAGTTATCTATCTCATATCAGGACAAGATGCAGAGAAACTGAATAAGTTTGAATAAACCAAAGAGAACACTCAGAGTATTAACAAGAAATGAATTATTTACCAGAGAGGAGGGGAAGAGACAAATACTCCTGTGAAACTTCTCACTGATCACCATAAACCAATGCGAGTGAACTTGAAAGGATACAAAAACTTAGGCATTAATAACATGGCTTTTTGCATTATTATCTAAACCCCCAAGTTCTTCATCTTTCTCACAGTGGTATGCCAACTTTTTTCCATGTAAATTTTTGCCAGAACATTTGAAGAGCAAAGCATTTGATTATAGCAGCATAGTTTATTTTGGAACAACAGAGACCTAGTTGTGCCAGATGAAATGGCCTAACTTCTTAAAATGGCTGGGTCTCATTCTCATTTTAGTCACAGAAGACTCTAATCACCAAGTATTTTGATGGGTCTCATGAAAGACACACCCAGAGACCACAAGCACACTCTTAGATAGTAAAGTCAACAGGAAAAAGTAAAGTCTGGTTTGCAGAAAGCTTTGCTGCAGGAAAGAAAGTTGGACCCAAAAATCCAAATCCAGAATTTGTAGAAAGGTGCTTTTCTCCTTACATTTTAGCACTGTTTCAATTTCCCCCTTTGGCAACTGGATATGGATTTTTGGTCCCAGAGAAAAATTCAACCCTACTTATATACTGAAGGAGAAAAAAAAAAACCCACACAAATTTAACCAGCAGTTTAGTATTGACATCTTAATTCACAACCTCACCTGAACCATTTGCATTTCTCTTTTATTATGCTTTATGGCACTGGTGGTTTTTACATAAACTAAATTAACCTCCTTGTCAAAGTAAAACTTAGGCAAAGCTATATTGAGACTCCCCATCAGAAAAATCAGACTAAGACTCCCTTTGAAGAAAGGAACACCAAGTCCAGCTTGCTTCTCAACTTGATCTACGGGACTCAAGTTGAAATAGGAAGCCACCCTACACAGCTTCAAGCTTGCCTTAAAATTAATCATTCACATACTGTACTGATACTGAGCATAAAACTCAGTACTTGCTAGATTTTAGTTGATGTATTTGTACTCTTAAGCATCTGCAAGCAGTTGTCCTCTATTTTCCTTTTTAGATTTTTAAAATAACAGGCTTGTCCTGAACATAAAGCCTTTGACAATTCTAACACTTAACCTCATTTACACAGATCAGGGTAAAGAACGATTGTGCCTTCCATATTTGATACAAGACTAGTAACAGCACTTTTGGGTACTGTAAAGAAAAATGTAATACAATACCCAAACCTAGTTTGGACACAGAACTTCTGAAAAAGAGTTGAAGCACACTGAAAAGCTCATACATTAACAGTATTATGAAAACATTTAGTGTGCATTTGCTGTCAGAGCAACACAAACAGCTAGAAAAGAACAGTAAACCCACTAGAGAAGATTTTCACGTAACTGATGTTTTTTAGTCTTATGAGCTCAGACTTCTAAGAATTATGCTGTCAAAGTAATAAGCAGCCCTCTAACACTATCACGAAATCATAAATATACATAGGCTTACACATCACCCTCTATGAAATCTATCAGGTTTTCTCACATTCAGTGGTATGTCTGTATGTGTATACATAAAAATAATAATAATTAAATAGCAAAGAACAGCAGGGAAACTCAAGATTAGAGCTCAAGCTGCATCTTTGGTCCATCACACTGTATTGCTTTCTGCCAGCACATATGGCACATAACGTCACAATCTGATCAGCTCAAGCACTAATACTCAAGAACGACTGAGGCACAGCATTAGCTTGAGGTATAAATGAAAGCAAATGAGAATTAGACCTTAATATTTCAGGTGCCTTCTACCAACCACGTTTCTGCTGCAACCTTTTTATTCTACCCAGTCTTTGCAGAACAGTACTTCTCCACACCTGTCCTCCTTCCTTCTTTCTCCTGTTCACTCCCCCTTATCTCCACCTAGTTCTGTATTTAAATTTGTTTTCCTACATAAAAAAAACCAAAAAATTTCTTACCACAAACCTGGTACATCTTTTCTCTGTAGCTTCAATGGACAAGACACCCTTTAAAAAAAGCTCTTTGGAACACAGGACTACCTACCACTAAATCCTCCAGAGAGAGGCTTCACTCTTGTTCTGTTCTAACTCATGTTCTAAGAACATGCCAACAGCAAGAATCCTCTCAGGGTATTACAAGCATAGAAAACAATTCTTAAAAAAAATTTCAAACATTTATATCCACTTATACCTTAAAATATACTACTTCAGGAAAATGTTTTTAAACGAAAAGCATCTAAACCAGTATTAAATACTTCTTCTGTTAAGTCACCTTCCTTAGAAAAAATTTAAAATGCATATACATTAACATAACGGAAATCTAAAGTTTAATATTCTGAGCAAGCCAATAGTGAAATTCTACAATAAGCATTATTCTTGTGTTATTTACTAATTGAAATAGATCACTTACCAATAGTATGCAATATACATTTGGAAAACTGGGCAAGGAATATAAAATCTCTAACTACTCTCAAATACAAGAAAAATATTATAGTTCAAATTTTAAGTGTCATACTGTGAGAGAAGTGACACATTTAAAGTGAGACTTGAAGCCAAATTAGGAGCCTTGGTTCGCTGACTTCACTGACAGCTGCGATGCGTTACCCATCACCTCAGCATCCTGGTGAGCCATGTCACAGAAATCCCGAATGGGAGCAAGTCATACATATTTAAAAAGCTGGTTGTTTTGCATTAAGTTACTTCACCTTTTAATCCATCCCACGGTCACTTACATGTGACTCTCGTGCCTGCCCAGAGGCCACTCCGGAGTTCTGCCCACACAGAGCCCATGGGGGACTCGGGGCCCGGTCAGTCCCTACTAGCTCCATTTCTGATGTGCCCTCAATCATCTTCCAGTTACTCTATATCAAAGGAATTTACAAAAAACAAACAAACAACACTATAGGCCAGATTTTGTTATCACCATTGATTTCCACAGCAGTCAGCGCACTCACTGACACCCATTTCACCCTAAGATCGCACAATTCATTATCTCAAATGAACTGCACTGAGCATATTAAGCCTTCATAGAAAACCTTCGCCAAACTTCGCACAGCTGAACTCCATGACTGAAACCTTTCCTACTCCAATACACAGCAAATCGGTGTTCTCTTACACACCCGCCTTTCCTGTCTCACACAGATTTTTCACTAGCTTGCCCTCTCGTAATCCATTTTGTTTCCCTGCTTAGATCAGCTGTTGCTTCAGAGCCACCCGGTAATCCCAGCCACGCTCTGGAGGTGACCGCAGAGCCCTCGGCATCCGTCAGTCCCTGTTCCCACATGCACACGCCTCACCCAGCGCATTCCGCACCGCGAATGACAAAAAGGTGACATTAAATTATGCAATACTTCACGTTAAAGTGAAAACAGAAGGCAGGAAAAAAAAATTAAAAAGCCCAAACAACTTCCAGAAACTAGGAATGAACGCATTTTGACTGTGATACCCCCACTTGCTCCAATACGTTCTTCCTATTCACGCAGGTTTCCACCCAAAATCCAGCTCCGCCGGGCTCGGAGCAGCCGCCCCGGCGAACTGCGCCGCGCCGAGCCCGCATCAGCATTTCGGGAATGTGAGCTCAGCACCGGGGCGGGCAGGGCCGCACAGCCCCGGCGCGGCTCCTGCGGGCCGACCCGGGCACAGGGCGCACCCGCCGGGCTCCGGCCGCGCTGCCCGGCCCGGGGCACAACAAAGGGGCGGCGGCGCTCGGGCGGCGCCGGCAGCCGGGGCGATGCGCCCCTCGCGGGGGAAGCAGCGGCGGCCCCGTGCAACCACGGACGGGGCCCGGCGCCGGCTCGGCCGCCAGGCAGAGCCCACCTCCCGCCGCAGCCCCGCCGGGCCTGCCGGCCCCCACCCTAGCTCCCGCCTCTCACCTGCGGGGCCCCGCGGCCCGTTCGCGCCGGCACCGGCGGGGCGGGAGGGGAAGATGGCGGCGGGCGCGGCTGCACGGCGGGAGGGACCGGCCCGGGGCCGGGGTCTGGCTGGGGCTGGTGCTGCTGTCGCTCCGCTCGGTGCCCGCCTGCACCGCTGCCCGCCCGGCGGCGCCCCGGGGCCCTCTGCGCCTCAGTGGGAAGCGAAAGGGGCGGGTCGGGGCCGCCCCACCGCGGGGGCGGGAGAGATGAAGGAGGGAGGGACAGATGGCGGCGGCGGTGCTGGGCGGGGCCGCTTTGTTCGCGGCGGGGCGAGCCCCGCCCGCCCGCCGGGCACGGCCGCGTCCCGGGCTGAGGGAGCCGGGCCGGGCCGGGCGGGGCCGCAGCTGCCGCCCCGGCAAAAGCGGCTTGAGCGGCGTCCGCCCGCCCAGCTACGCGGCGGCCCCGAGCCCGTCCCGGCAGGGCTCCTGGCGGCGGGAACGCTTACGGACAGCCCGGTGTCCCCGACAAAGGGCGGTCAGGCCCCGGGCCCCCCGAGCCGTCAGGGCACACACGCTGTCACCTCTCCGCTCCACCGCCCCAGGGTGCCCAGCGCTCCCCGCACACGAGCAGGGCAGGACGGGTACTGCCCCTCTGCCACCACCCTGTGCCACCGCTGCTGCGGCGCAGGCTTATGGCTTGTTGGCAGCACCTTGAGCTGCTGAGTTGGGTGGAGCTGCCGCGTTTCGGGTCAGCCAGGGATTTTTTCTGTGTGTTCTTGCTGTCTTCTGCTTCTTAAGGCTGTTGAGAAAAGCACACACGCTTTACATAAGTCTTATGTATGCATGTGTGATACCTGTGTTATGATGTACTTACATATAATTTGACTTTCAGGTATATTTTTGTAATGTCAAAAGATGATGGCATCTCAGAATCATGGTGAACAGTCAATAAGCTTTCTTGTTTGTAAATGTAGTGGTGAGATACAGAAAATCATGTTAAAATGGTACTCGAAAAAGCACCCGTGAGCATATGGCAGCGCACTGGCAGGCCCTGCCAAAATGGAGATGGTGGCAATTTTCTGACAAGCAAGGACCTGATTTTTTAATTTTTTTTTTCTTTTTTAATTATGCATGTGTGCATGTGGGCCATGTATCAGAGATCCAGGGAAGGTTGCCAGGGATTTGACTGAAGTTGAACTGGATTTTGTGTCACTATCACAAAATGTGAAGGACAACAGTAAATTCAAGTCTGCTTGCAAACTGTTTTGCTGAGGATCTGCTGAAGGGCAGAGGCCAATCATGTTACTTTCTCTCCTTCTTTCTGAACCAGAATACAAATTCCTCAAAGGCTGTCCAGCAACGAGTGTCACCTGGCTGCACTTCAGTTACTCTACCAGGGATGAGCAAAGAATGTGGAACTCAATGGTTCCTTCTTTTCAAGTCCCAGCATTACTTCCCAGTAAGATTGATTTACTGGTAAAACACCAAATCCTTCTGTTTACTTCCAAAAGTATCACTTTTGGAGGCACTGCTTAATAGAATATGTAATTATAGAAATGAAACTTTCTCAATACAGATGATACAATATAGCTGATAAACTAGAGGGAGTGCAGAAAAAGAAGATGAATTGTCTAAACTGAGCTTTGCAGAACATAAACTTAGATAAGTCCATTTTAAACTTTGTTTGGCCTACAAAATACTAGGTAAACAGACACATGCTTTAAATTTAATCTTGATTTCAGAATGGTTTTAGTGTAGTTTACTTACTTTGGTGCAATAGCTTTGTTTTCAGTGGAAGTTCTGAGACCAAATTGTGAGACTGTATCTCTGGAGGGCATGAGTTTCGGGATGAAAGAAAAGTAAAGCTTCTCCCCAATTATGGACCCGAAAGGAAGAGTAAATTATGAATTTTAAATTATCCTGTTTCCTGCTCAGAATGTTTCTGCTCAGGACTTTCAGAAGCAGCAAATTCCTATACTCTGGAAAGAGATTTCAAGAACCAAACTCTCAGGAAGAGGTATGGAAGAATAGGTAGCAGCAGTTGGTGGACCTGCTTTGGAGGGCAGTCATATTACTCTGAAATATTTGGTGAGGATACCCATAGTGGCATTTATATGGGAAGGGGGCAGATGGAAAATCCTGTTCTCTGGTTGTTTGCAACTGTTTATTCAGGCACAGAGACATCTTTGGGACGGTCTCAGCTTGTTTGAACTTCCTACTCATTACTGCAAAGAAGGTAACTCCCATGAATAGCAAAGCTGCTGGGTGTGGGTTTTAGAGAGCTTGAAAATCAGGATTAGTAGAGGACAAGATCTGCATTGCCTAGTGACAAAATAGGGTGCTGCAGTCTGTTCTTAGAACGCTTCAGAAAAGAAAATAGTAATTGACTATTTTACAGGTGTTGCAGGTGGCTGCAGACAACGTCAGTAAGGCTGGATGCATTCTCAGATTTATTCCCCAATGCCAAACTTGCACAAGATTTGCCAGTCGAGTCCAGCAGTTTGTGCAAAGCACCTTTGTTTTGTCACCCTAAAAATGGGCCAATCCCCTGATTTTCAGTACTTGTAACACAGCCATTCAACTCTTTACATTATATATTATATTTACATGTTCTTGTAAAAACTTGGGGAAAAAAAATCTATTTAAAACTTTATTCTGGAAACAGTTTTTACTCATTTCAAGAAAGAATTTCCAGAACTTCAGGGTGACAAATCAGCAAAATTCTTGCATAATCTATAGAATTCTTTATGTCAGCATCATAGCTCCAGTTTCAGGTAGCTTAAAGAGGAAAATACTGAGCCAAAGTATAATCTGGCTTCCAGTAATTTAAATAATTGCAGACTTGTGGGGCCTTGCCAGGTCTTGTACTGCAGACATTTAGATCAGTGATGATGAAGAAAGGATAAGACAGAGCTGCTGTGATGGAAAGCTTCATATTAGCTTTTAAGTCTTTCTGCAAAGCTCCATTAACAGATTAACAGTGACATAAAAGTGCATACGGGTATTACTTAGTATGTCTCCATAAAGTTCACATACCATTAACTGCAAACTTAAACACATCTTACATGAAAAAAATTCTTTCAGTATCTTGCTTAAACAAAATCATCAATAGATAATGAAGTACTCCTAAGCATTTTATACATCCAGTTGTTTGTAACATTGAATAAGGGTCTGAAGGAAGTTTTAAAAACATTTTTCAGTGAATGCTCTACTTGTTTATATTGTTTTCTGTCCTTGCTTGAATTCTGGTTGTTATTAGTGTTTCTGATCAGAGGCAGTTCTATCCAGTGTCCATCAACATTATCCTTGAATTGAGATATTTGATGAAAAGCTGATGTTAAG